TTCAAATTCAACTCAGGATGGTCGAGTCTAGCCAGTTTACAACCAATAATTTAGTCAGCAAATTCAGCTCTTCTTTTCTCCTCAGGAATTATCTGCAAACAAGCAGGTTGGAATTTTTACAGTTTTGCTTGCAACTCCTCCCTGTTTACTTCAGTGCGAGGGCCTAAGCTGTCTCACAGACTGCCCCCTAGTCTCCCTAGTGTAATAATGAAGCAGGCTTCAGTGAGGGGGCCGCACACGTGGCAGCAGAGAGGCGTCAAGCCCAGCATAGAAGCAGCTGGGTCCAGTTTTCAACCAAGGTAGGGATGGTGAGTTGAAGGGTGTGAGTAGAAGATGGAAAGCCATATCGAGGGCATACTAATGGGGATGGGGGTAGGGAAGGTAGGAAAGGTGGAGGAGGGAATAGCTATCCCTGCCCTATCCCACCCTTACACAAGATACACTTTTATGTAAATGCTAAGTATTATCATTAATATATAACATCTGTCATAAGAGGTACCTTATTGGTTCAAAGTACTTTGCAAAGAACTGTATGATGATTCCCAATTTCTAAATGGGGAAACTGAGGCACGGGGATTAACGTACATACTCCAGGTCACCCAGCGAGTCAGTGTCAGAGTGGGGAATAGGACCCAGGTGTCCTGATTGCCAGTCTCCCGTTCTAGCTATTAGACCAATGATACCTACTGGGGGAACAGTTTGGCCCTCCTGCTCACCTTTTAATCACACAATGACCAAAATCCTCCCAAGTACAGCACCCGGCCCAGGAGAAGTTCCTCCTCCACAAATTGCCAGAACCCTGGCCGTGCCTACCCTACACCTCCATCTCTCCTGCACTGTCAAAAAAGTTGCCAGTTACTGGCAATCCCTGTTCAGTAGCCTATATGTAACAAGTTGGTGATATCAGTCCAACTCCTAGCGAACAGATATCTACACACCACTAAAATCACCATCCCATTTGCCTTCCCTTTGAGAGCAATCTCAGAATAGAGAGCAAGGGCTGAATGAGCATGGAATGGAGACTCAGTGATCTTCTCACCAGAGGAGGGTCCTATGGATCATAGTTGATGAAGGGAATGGGGTGGGGTAAATTTTTAACTACTCTTCTCTGTGCTATACTTGTTCTATAAATAAAGGATTTCAATTTCCCGGGCTGTCAATCCAATTCCACAGCAAGGAAGAGCTGATCATGGATCCTTCTGGAGCACCATTACAATCATCAACCACCTGGAGGTCCCTTCTGAATCACCTTGCCATGCCATCACCTCTTCTCTGTGTGTGCTGACTGCAAAGTGATCCTGCATCTGCAGGTACTGATTTTAGAACCCACACTTGGATTCTCACACTACATCATGGCACACCCAACTGACTTTAAAATCTCAGTCTTAGGGCACATTGGAGGACAAATTCTGATCACACCTACTGCCATCAGTACTGCATCCAAAGTGACACAGACAGTGACCATTCTAGTTC